AGCGGTCCGGCTCCCGCGCCCTCGCCGCTCTTGGGACGTCACGTCCTTTTTTTAACAGGCAACATTAACATTTACAAAGGTGAAAGCGGCAGTCGTCTTTCTTGAGCTCAGCAATCCAACTACTGGAAGAACAACGCCAATTCTTCACTTAACCTGGGAGCTGAGGCAAAGCGACTGCGTGGGTGTGACCCTCTGAGGGCCGAGAGGGATGTTTCTCTCAACCCACCTGAAATACTGCCACTTCAACCCCAAAACAGCCTTGAAACGTGCTCTGACCACAAGTGGCCGAGCCTAACCCAACCGGTATCCTTATTTCCGGGATTTCTTTCCTGACCCCTTGACTTGCTGGGTTATGGTTTTCAACATCTTTTCTATCTGGGCTTTGGTCAGGGACTTCCTGCAGTACCACGCTTTGTCCCAGCTGGACCACAGGCGCATGGGAGCCAGATAAAGCGGATCGTAGTCGTGAAGCTTGTCCAGGGGCCTTTTCCTAGCATATTCCTTATAATCTGTGACTGGACAGCTATCTGGGTTGTCGGGCCTGGCAAAGAGCCGAGGACCCTCCTGCCCTGCGTTTCCCTCCGTGCTAAGATCATCCTTCCACTCCAAATACTCCAGCTCCCCCTCGCCCTTTCTCAGCACCAGTTGGCCCCAGTACACGCTGGGGCTCTGACTGTGGGTACGTGCCCCAAAGCCCCGAACAATGTTGGTGAACAGGAGGTGCAAAAAGCCCCGAGGGTGCGCCTTACTCAGGATTCCCTTCTCACAAAGGTTTGCCACATCCTCATCTGTCAGCTTCTCCAAAATGCTCCACTCCTCCCCTCTCTCTTTTTGGGATAGGTACTGGTACTTTTCTCTCAAGGCTTCCTGGGAGGCTCTGAACTGGAAGCCTTTCACGCTGTACCTGTAGCTGTGATCCCTGAGGTATCTCTCCATGTTGCCCTGAAAGTAGTGCAGAGAACTGGCGGATAAATCCATGCCGTCCTGCCTCTTCACCGACCGGAAGAACAAAGCCAGGTAGGTATCGAGGTCCTCGGGCGGCAGCGTGTGGATCTCGCGCGTCTCCGAAGGGCGGTGTAAAACCAGCCAGTCTTTGAAAGGTTTGATACTGGCGCTGTTACGGTTCTTCTTGCCCTTCTTCTGCACACCTAAAAGAGAAGAGAGAGCTTTGTGGACGGCAAGAACTTCCGAGAACAGTGCCGTGGGAGAGGCAGTGACATCCACCTTCCCTTTAAACGTGATTCGGAGAGCACGGGACTCTCACAGACCCGTTGCGCTCAGAGCTGTGTGCTCGGCAGACGGCGGCACCTCTCAGCGCCAGCCTGGGCAGGGAGAGGGTTGCCCCCTTCCCCGTCCCTTCTCCCTTGGCTGGTGACCCGCGCGCTGCACGTGGACAACCTGGAGATACTCTTTTCCTCCTGAATCACATTGGAATGGGAGGGACTGAGCTCCTGCTGGGATTTAATTCCAGACTGTGCCTGCAGGGTGCAAAGGGGTGGTGAGAGTTCTGCGGGTTTCCTGCGCCAGCGATGCAGGGCTGAAGCCTGGGCTGTCCCTGGCCGGACACGGAACGTCTCCCCTGCTGGATTTGGAGCTGACTCTCGGAGTCTGCCCGTGGGAATGCACGCCTGGGTCCTCGGGACCATGGTGTCCTGAGCCTGCAGAGCCCCAGCAAGCCCAGACAGACATGCCATCCCCCCAACAACTCACCGCCACCCTGGCACGTTTTACGGGGACCGCAGGGCCAGACTCTGCCCTGTTAAAGGGATGGGAGCGGCCTGTACCTGCATCTCGCGACCTGCCGCAGGACTAAGCAGCCACCTAAACGGTCCAAGTGCCATGCGGTCCAGATGCAGCCTCACCAGGGCACAGCGGAGAGGGAGGATGACCTCCCTCAAACTGCTG